ATATAGAAATAACTCTTAGTAATAGAGTTGGGACACAATAAATTGCCCCAACTTTAGCCTCCAAGTTTATCTTTCTGTTGGTCTCTGGTGACCACAACTTATGCTCATTTTCATAGATAAATCATGGAAATGTTTAATAAAGACTATCATTTGTTTTCTTTTCCTTTTATCTTATTCTTTATATCCTTATTCTTTTCTCAACCATATACAACATTCTGATATTTTAAGACTCTAATATCAATTTAACACCCCCATTTAAATAGATCAGCATAACATTTTTTTTAATTCCACTTCAAACGTTAAGGAAAGCATAAAACACGTTTCCCCATGAATCAAAGCCTGTAAAGTAAAAGATTGGCTTTGCTTACATTTTGGTCCGCTCCTGTCTTTGTCCTCCTTCCAGCCTCCTCTCTGCACTTCTGGTGTCCCCAAACAGGCAGATTACTGTTCCAGAATTGACAGCAAAAACAGCAGCTTTATTATATTTGCATAAACTCAGTAAGCATTTATTGAGTGCCTAGTATTTACTCATGCTTTCCCTGAAAATGTCTACTCATGCCTGGTGCCATTGGGAGGGCAGAGAAAGAGAGAAACAGATACAGATATGTAGAGAGGAAGACAGAAGGAGAGAGGGGGAAGAAGGGAAAGAGAGAGAGAGAAGACAACCTTCGGAGCCTTGAATTATGGAACATGTAACACACACACACACACACACACACACACACACACACACACCTGTCTTTTTTTTTTTTTTTTAAGTGGAAAGGAAGTTTATTGAGGGGGCCCAAGTGGCTTGCCCTTATTTAACTATAAAAAATATTTTTTTCCAATACCCCCCTTTAAAAAAATATTTCTATTGATTTTCAAGAGGAAGGGAGAGGGAAAGAGAGATAGTAACATCAATGATGAGAATCCCTGATCAGCTGCCTCTTACACGTCTCTCACTGGGGATCCAGCCCCAAACCCAGGCATGTGCCTTGACTAAATGGAATCAAACTGCAACCTCTTGGTTCACAGATTGATGCTCAACCACTGAACCACGCCAGCGGGACCCAAAAACTTGTCTTAAGGAGAGATTGCAGTCCAATACAATGGAGAGGAAGCATAGAAGGACTACAACAGAGTGTGGTGAATGTCATGTAAGACAAAAGGAAGTACTGCTGGAAGGCTTCAGAAGAGTGCTGCAAAATTATTTACAAGCAATTTTATTTTTTTGTTTTGCTTTTTTAAAATTTGTAATCTCTACTCAGCCTGGGAGAATATATTTAAAATGTGTAAATCAGGATTTTTCCTGTTGCAAGGGACTGAAACTGGAATTAGCAAAATAAGGACCTTTTTGGCCTGTGAAATAGAAAAGATCATGGTACTTAGGCAAGTTGGATTCAAATTCCCAAAGAATGTTATCAAGGCTCAGTCTGTTCCTTTCTAACTATCCCCTCTGTTCTTGGATTATTGCTTAATCCTCAGCAATTCCTTTCATATGTTGGTTCCTAGCAATTCCAAGCCATCATCTTGGAAAAACCGAGTTTCTCTTTTCCAATACTTGTAGGAGTAAGTTTTATTGGACTGACCTGGTTATGTGCCCCATCACTTGCTTTGCCCAGGGTGCCAGAATGCTGATGTCTAATTTGGACAGTGGAGCATGGTTTGTGTTTGTGTGTTTTTAACTCTTAAAATTTCATTAGAAAGGAATGGATGCTCAAATCCTGCTATGTTGTGGGGGTGGGAGTAAATCGGCCAAGAGAGAAGAAGCCTTAAGATGATACTAATTTCTGGATTGATAAATGGTATTATCAATGAAGATATTTGGTGAAGAAGAAAGATAAGATTTGGGAAGAAGCAGGACAAAGACTACAAGTTGTGTGTGTGTGTATATATATATATATATATATATATATATATATATATATTACATTTGAGTAGTTTGTGGAATTTCTAAATGCGAGGTCCAATTAATATCTCAGAAAAGAGATAAGGGCTACAGACAGGGACACAAGTGTCTAAATCACCAAATAAATGATAGTCAGAATGGCTCTTCTATTATCAAAAGAACATATTTTATAATGTAAGCATAACAATTTAAATCTCAAAAAATACTTATTCTGTGCTAAAGTAGGACATAAAGATAAATTATTATTATTTTTTATATATTTTATTGATTTTTTTACAGAGAGGGATAGAGAGTTAGAAATATCAATGAGAAACACCCATCAGCTGCCTCCTGCACACCCCCCACAGGGGATGTGCATTCAACCAAGGTACATGCCCTTGACCGGAATCAAACCCGGGACTCTTGAGTCCACAGGCCGACGCTCTATCCACTGAGCCAAACCGGTTTCGGCAAGATCAATTATTAATAAAGCCCTTGTTTTAAGGAGTTTCTGTTTCTATATGTCTTAATTTATTTTGTGAGTGTAAAATTGGTGCATTAGAATTTTTAATTTTCTTTAAAAATTTGTTTTTTAAATTCTAAAAGCCATGTATGCTTTTTGTAAAAAAGAAACTAAGCAAACTATAAAGAAGAAAATGAAAATAACCTGCAATTATACTTTGCAGATATAATCACAATTTTAGAGTATTTAAAAATATTTTTTTCTAACTGTAATTTATATGCATAATTTTTCCCAGCTTTGATAACATACATATTTTCAGTTGGGGTATCTGCTTTTTCACTTAACATTGTCTTGAGTAGTTTCCATGTCATTAAAAAGTTTTCACATTAATAATTGTCATGGCTGTATAACATTCCACCTTTTGAATAATCATCTCCTTTCTGATTGACATTCATATTATTTCCAGTCTTTCAGTGTTGTTAATTATGCTTTGGTACGTAATTTTCCCATTTCATTTTTTTTTGAATAGAGTTCTAAAAGTGGAACTAATGAATCAAGATATATAAATATTTTGTGTCATGATGCATAATGACAATTTTTTTTAGAGAGAAAGGAAGGGGAAGATAGAGAAAAGGAGAGAGAGAGAGCGCACAAACGACATCCATTCGCACATTTATTGGTTGACACTTGTATGTGCCCTGACCAGGGATGGAACCCAAAATACTGGCATATTGGAAAAATGTTCCAACGAACTGAGCCACCCAGCCAGGGCCATAACCCCAAATTTTAATTTCCAATAAGTCTGTAGTAATTAATGCTTCTTCCCCGAAAGCAATAGAAGTGTCTGGTGTCACACTCACCATCAGTAAGATGGCTAATTTAAAAATCTTTACTAATCTCACTAATTAGTAAATATCCAAGTACTGAAATAATCCTCTCTCTGATTAGTAAAGATCTAATCTGAGTAAAAGGAGCCAGACTCCTCCCCACCCCTTAACCCGTCCCCCCCCCCCCGCCCCCGCAACCCTCCAAAAAGAGTATACTCTATGCTTACATTTATATAAAACTCTAAAAAATGCAAACTCTAAGTGAAAGAAAGCTCAGTGGTTGCCTGGGGGACCAGGGGTGTGGGAATGGGAGGAAGGGATAACAAAGGGGCAAAAGGAAATTTTGAGGGAGTGATGCATAGTTTGTTCATTGTGGTGATGTTTTTATGGTTGTATGCAAACATCGAACTTACCAAACTGTACACTTTGAAAATATGTAGTTTATTGTATATCAATCACACCTTAATACAGCTGTTTAAAAATGGTTTTAAAATTTGTTTTAATTTGGTTTTTGAAATTGCTAATGAGTGTGAATATTTTTCACATGTTTTCGTTATGTGTATATACTTTCGTGATTTTTCCCCCTATGTTCTCTACTAATTCTTCTACCTGTGCCTTAATTTCCTCCTGGATTTGGGTATTCTTTACATATTAGGAAAACTCAACCTAAAGTTCTCCATATTTGTTTGCCCTGTAATTTTTCTGGTACAGCGTAACTTATTTGTACAAGATAATTTATTTATTTTTTAAAAATATATTTTATTGATTTTTATACAGAGAGGAATTGAGAGGGATAGAGAGTTAGAAACGTCGATGAAAGAGAAACATCGACCAGCTGCCTCCTGCACACGCCCCTCTGGGGATGTGCCCGCAACCAGTGTACATGACCTTGACCGGAATTGAACCTGGGACCCTTCAGTCCGCAGGCCGACGCTCTTCCACTGAGCCAAACCGGCTTCGGCTGTACAAGATAATTTTAATCGAGAGGATGTACTAGAAACCCTACAAATCTTTACACTACAGCAAGTTGTTAATCATCGCTTTGCAAAACAAACAAAAATCACTTAAAATTCAAATTAGTAAATGAAGGGGGCGTTACAACAGTCTTCAGCATTGGCACCTAAGCGGTATTGCACACGTCTGCTTTGATATTTTGGGGCTATTTTCTTAAGTTACTATGCCCAGGACACAGTAGAGAGGAAGGACCTTTGTAAACAAAAAAGTACAGGATACTCTTCTGGGAGTTTGCTTAACACATCGCACGCAGGAGTTACCTTCTCTGCCTCTCTTGGGCTTCTCCTTTGCCTGCTTACCCGGGAAACCCAAGAGGAGGGGGAGCATGCCACGGGTGACCTCACGCTGGCATGACGTCAAGAAGCCCTGACGTCAGACGTCAGAAGGCGGTTGCCACGGGGACCCTCTCCACTTGACGGCAGAGTCGTGAAATCTTTTCGGCTCCTGCAGGATCCAGGCTGCTACAGACGCTTTCGCCTTAAGGGGGCCTCCGGGAGAGGGGAGAGCGCCGCCGACGCCAGCGCCCCACCCCCGCCGCCGGTCCCGGGCCGGCCCGCGGCGGCGAGCGGCGGCCTCAGGAAGCGGGCGGCGGCGGCGGCGGCGGCGGCCCCCGGTCCCCCGGCTCCGCGCCCGCCCGGAGCAGCGAGCCGCCATATTGGGGCCGGAGCGAAGGCGGCGGCGGCCCGGCCGCGGTCTGGGAGGAGTCGGCTGCCCCGGGGCCGCCCGGCCGGGGAGTGAATGAGTCTCTGGCGCTAGTGTCCTCCCCGCCCACTCGCCCCGCTCTCCGCCGCCGGGCCCCGGCCGCGAGGGGGCCCGAGGCGGCAGGATGTTCTCCAAGAAGCCGCACGGGGACGTGAAGAAATCCACCCAGAAGGTGCTGGACACCAAGAAGGACGCGCTGACCCGCCTCAAGCACCTGCGATGCGTCATCGGTGAGGAGCGAGGGGCGGCGGCCCGGGGCCTGGGGGCGGCCGGCCCGCCTCCGGGGCCGCGGGACCCCCCGGGGGAGCCCGGCCCGGCGCGGAGCGGCGCCGGCGGGGGCGGGAGGGCGGTTAATTTGGGGAAGAGAAAACTTGGCGCTTGTCAGACACTCATCACCGGTGACACCGGGTTACCTAATGTTGAGTGAATAATTCCAGGTCTTTTTTTTTTTTTTTTTTTTTTTTTTTTACACGAGCGTTATCTAAAAACAGATCTTTCTCAGGCTTTCGGTGGACGCGGTGCCGAGGATAATGAATGGTGTTTATTACAGAATGTGTTTGCCACATAGAGGGCTCCCGCTGCCCCTGCCCAAGTGGAAATAATCCTCCCGGGACAGCTGAGACCTGGGCGTGTGTCGTCCGAGTTTCTGGTCTCACGAGGGCCTGGAGGAGGCCGTGACGCCTTTTTTGGGAAAGTGGGTGGTTCCCCACAAAGCCTGTGGGAAGGAGCCCCGCCCTTGGTTCATGCTGCACCTGGTTCATCGCTACTGTCCCGTGGAGAGAACTGGGATTTAATCTCAGCAAACAAGGCAGTTTACGGCTTCCTTTGCCCCTGGAGGTTACATGGGATCTACTTTTTAAAGATTTTTTTTTTTTTTTAATCGTCTGTGTCCCTCTACTCAATAGTCCTGTTTTGCTGGCAGCCCAAAGAGTGCTGCATTTCGGATACAGTGTTAAAGGAATCTTGGATAGTGGGTCATTTCGTAGACGCACAAGGCTGTAATAGTATTTGTGGACTTATCTGGCTCAGTCCTTGGATCTTTTTGATGAGATTTGAGGTGAAAAGGAAAGTTAGCTTGCCCGAGTTAATACAGAGTCAATGCCAGGATGGAATTTTGAACCCAAATGTCTGAGTGAGCCCTGGCTTAGAATTTATCTCAGGCTTTCTTCCTAATGAGTTTATTCCGTGATATAAGTCCCTTATTGGAGGTGCCTGTTTCTCTACCATACCGAACCGCACCGTACACATCACATCATCACATCCCACTGCCAGGATGCCACCAGTAACACCTAACATGTGTATAGTGGGTCACTGTTTTCACAATGATTTCACATAACTTATAATTAATCCTCACAATGACCGTACAGGTAGATACTATCCTCCATGGTTTACTAATGAGAAAGCTGAGTTTGGGGATGTCAGGTGGCCATCCAGGTACTAGAGGGCAGAGCCAGAAGTGGAGCCCCGATTTCATATCTCCAATATGTTTTTTACTTTTCCTACATTTATGACAGCACATCTTTATCATAAGTAAGTTGTGGAATAGAAAGAAAACAATTAAATACAGTTTTAATGGCATAAAAAGAAGCCCAGCTTTCAAGAAAATATAAATTTTCTAATTGTAGTTGAGATTGTGATCTTTTAATTTATGGTCTTCATTCCACTTGAGAGCTAACTCATTGAAGAAAACATTTGGCTGAGAGAATGAGAAAAAGAAAGAATGTGTGAGTGTAAGAGATGTATCACAGATAATGGAAGTTTGAAATTGAAGACTTCATGGAATTTGACACCTACTTGGGATAAACTCTAGGCTGAGTAATGAATGGCAGAACTATAAAGTTGAATATCAGTGGAGTATTGACGTTTCCTAAATTAAGCCATAGTTCTTTAATATTACAGTGAAGGAATGGCTCATATATACTTTTCTGACAGAAATTTCTTCCATGACCGAGGAGACAAGATCTAAATTAAGTGGTCACACATATCGCACATTTTGTATGGCTTGGTTTCCTTGGTTTGGAAACAAAACAATTAAAAAAAAAATCCTTTTACCTTTTAGTGACTTATGGGCTTTTTTTTTTTTTTTTTTTTTTTTTTTTTTTTTAAAGTAGAACATATACTGTATAAAAACGTTTAAAATATCCTTAAGAACCTTCAAATAGAGAACATTGTGATCTCAGATCCCCTGCCCTCGGTGTTGAGGAAGTTCATGTTTGGAAACATTTTTGCTGTCAAAACTTGGGGGAGGAGCTTCCAGCATCTAGTGGGAGGCAGGAATGTTGGAGGAAAAAAATCTTACAATGCACAGGAAAATCTCTCACAATAATATTCTAGCTCTAGATGTTAACGGAGGTCTAAACCACCTCAGAGGTTTAGAAACCTTGTCAAAATATAGTGTAAGGAAGAGACACTTGAGACCCTTTTTTGGAAACAGGTACAAGTTTTACATAAAGTAATTGAGTATTGCCAGTTACACAGGATTTTGATTTTGATTTGGTTTCATCAGAACTATATTTTTAACCCTTAGATTGAATTGCCATTTATTTAAGGTACTTATATAATTCAGTGGACCCAAATATATAACATTTAAACATCCAGTGTAAACTTTTTTCAGGCATGCGTTCCCACTATAGGACAATTCCAGCTGAATTTATAGAACTTGACTCTGAAAATACTGCTAGATATTTGATATGTAGGAATTGGAAGTTAAGAGTTATTATTTTTTAAAGAATTAAAACCTTGTCTTATTTCAAAAGTTTTGTGTTTTCCTCTTATCTCCCCAACCCCCCCTTTTTTATGTATATATCGATAACTGATAATTTTAAGTAATTACACTAAGTTAGCACATGTAATGCCTGACATGTAGTGACTATTAATTTTCATCATCTATGGCAAAGTAACAATTCAGTCTTCTAGATTTAAAAAGAAAAAGATGAGTTCTTGTTTAGCTAATATATTGATTATTGTTGGGCCATTCTTTCTAATAACTTTATTGAGGTATAATTGACAATACAATAAATTGCACATATTTTTAAAGTGTATAATTGTGTAATTTTTGGCCATCATGACAATTAAGATCAGGAATATATCCAGACAATTAGAATAGTAACTCCCCAAAGTTTACTTTTTCTCTTTTGGAATCCCTTACTTCCATTCCTACTTGCACCTACTCTCTTCCCTGGTCTGTCACTGACCTGCTGTCACCTTAGAGTAGTTTGTATTGTGTGTGTATGTGTGTGTGTGTGTGTGTGTGTGTGTGTAATATTGTGGAATTATACAATATTTATTTTTTGTGTAATTTTCTTTATTCAGCCTGTTCTTTTGAAATTCAACAATATTGTTGTCGAGTATGTCAATAGCACATAGCTTTTATTGCTGAGTAGTATTCCATTGTATGAATGTGCCACAGCTTGATTACCCATTCACCTGTTGATGGACATGTGGGTTTTCAGCTCCAGCTATTGCAGATAAAGCTCCTATGAGGTATACCTGTATAGCACATTTCCTTTTCTCTTAGATAAATACCTAGGAGTGGAATGGCTGAAATCATGTGGCCGTTATTTAACTTTTTAAAGAAACTGCCATACTGTTTTTTACCATTTTACATTCTCATTGAAACGGGCGGTTCGTGGTGCAAACCTCGTGGGTCCTTATCCGACAAAATTGAAGAATAAATTTGAGAACTAAAAGATCTTTAAAATAAAAATGTACAAGTTTATTGGAAGCATATACAAACTCCATCTGGGCAGGGGTGTCCCCAAAGAGGATGCCCTGAGAAAGAGTCCCCAAATGGGAAAAGCCTGCTTTCTCTCTCTAGTGGGAAAAACCTAGTAGTAAATCTAAAAAACCTGTAAATCTCTTTGTCTCTGGCTTTATAAAGGCTCTAGTTCTTTGTCTGAACTTGACCCTTTCTAATTGGACCCTTCCTCAATTTAGGACCTCTGGACTTTCCTCATTGGTTATTTTGTTACATAGTATTAGTTTCAGAGTCTTGGAGCTATTTCTGCCCTTCACATATACATCTTATCTGTTCAGGTTGGAGTTGCTTTTAATCTCCCTGATAGCTCTCGCAGTTGCTCAGGTCAAGGCTGCTTTTATTTGCTCAGGCCAGAAATGCCTCCATCTTCCCTGGTCCCCCTCTTCCTGTCTGTCTAATTAAGCTAGCTAGCTAACCCTTATCAGCAGTGTATGGAGAGTACCATTTTCTCCACAAGTCACCAACCCCACTTATTGCCAGTCCTCTTAATTTCAGCCACTAAGAAGTATATAGTGGTTATAATTAGTATTTCCCTGATATCTAATAACATTGAGCTTCTTTTCATGTGCTTATTTTTATTTATTTTTTCATGTGCTTATTTATCACTGTATAATTTCTTTGATGAAGTGGCTGCTCATATCTTTTACCTGTTTTTAAATTGTTTTCTTATTCAAGTGTGAAAATTCTTTGTATTCTGGATAAAAGTATTTTATCAGATTTCTCCCCCAGCTTTGAATTGTCTTTTAATTTTCTTAACTTTTTCTTTGAAAGAGGAGGAATTCTTAATTTTAAGTCCATATAATCAAACTTTTCTTAATTTTTAAAAAATATATTTTATTGATTTCTTACAGAGGTCACAAAGATTTTCTTTTTATGATTTTTTTTTTTTAGCAGATTTTTAATTTTAGGATTATATTTCGGTCTATGATTCTTCTTTAGTTAACTTTGTAAATATGGCTTGAAATATGAGTTGAAGTTTACTTTTTTGCACATGGATATCCTATTGTTACCAGCACCGTCTTACCATTGAATTGCCTTTGTTTTTTTCCTAAACTCAGTTGACATTTATGTGTGGATCTATTTTTGGACTCCTTTTTTGTTCTTGTGATCTATTTGTGTTATTGCTAGTACCACAGTATTTTTTAAAATTTATTGTAATTTGATAGTACATCTTGAAATCAGGTAGTGTTGTCCCTTCAACTTTGCTCTTCTTTTTCAGAGTTTTTTTCTGGAGGTGGTCAGTATGCCAAGTAATTTACATTTACATATGAATTTTAAGGTGTAGCTTGTCAATTTCTAAAATAAGATAAATTTTCCTGCTGGGATTTTGATTGGGATTATGGTGAATCTATAGATCAATTTGGGAAAAGTTTAAAATATTGAAATCTCTGATTCATGAACAAGGTATGTTTCTCCATTTGTATAGGGCTTTTTTAATTTCTCTAGCAATGTTTTGTAGTTTTTAATGTACAG